ATATTAAAAAAATAATCTACTGTGATTGGATGATAGATCTTCCCTATGTCCCACCCTAATCATCTACAGCATTCTCGCAGCCCCAGTGATGGATGCTTTGTCCTTTGGCTCTAATAGCAATGAGAGTCGCTACATATCAGGAGAGCGTCTGGGGGGGGCTGCCTCATCCGCAGATGCATTGGCTGCGTCTAGCCCTGCAAGCTGAGCATGAGAACTGCTAAGCACAAGCCTTTGGTTAGATGCTGCTAGATACCCTCTCTTCTCAGCTTTGTAAGGTAAACAAACGCCCCATCTCTTTAATAACAATCTAGTTTATTAGACAGTCAGATGAGTCCCTTACTTCATCCATCATTTTTATTTTTCGATGTGCAGGCACTAGATGTATGTTTGAATTTGTGCACTTAAGGGACCAGGAATGAGAGACCTTTTTATGAATCTGACCATGTATTTCTCAGAAGGCCATTACTAGGGGAAAATCATTGCATAAATAATGTACAACTGTAGATGTCCAAGCCCTGTTTTCCTGCAATAGCTCATGGCTTCAGAGACACCATTTTTAAAAAATGTTTCAAGGAGTGTTAGAAGCAGTCAAGAGTAAGAAGGAACAAACAGCATTTCAGAGCTGAGCAGTTAAGGTAAAATGGATATTTCTGCTAGTGATTGTCTCCTTCATGTGTGCGTGCATTCCATATTTTTTTTTGCTGTCATTGGATTTGTTGTAATATAGATTTGCTGCCTCCTGAAGGTTTTGATCCCCAGCAACAGCGAGTTGGCAAGTGTTACTCAACTTCTTTGCTGATGGTTGTCTTAAAGCAGAGATGGCAGAAAACAGGGGAAAGTGACAGTGTCTTTAAAAAAAATAGGGGTGTGTGTAATATGATTGTTGGTCATGGGAAGGCTGTTTTTGTCCCACTGACTTGCTGTCTTGAATGTTCTTCTCTAAATGTTTAACATAGGGAGAGAAGGAAAACCTTTTTGCTCTATCTGTGCCTGCAACCCCCATTAACTCGAAAGGGGAATAGGCTTTTAAGTACCTTGCACATATAATAAATATATGCTTCTTTCTAAGATGACAGCTTAATTTCATAGCTGGCATTAAACCTTCTAGCTTGGCCATAGACTTTCACTATCCTCCATAAACCTGGCCTTGGTAACAACAGCAAATTTTCCAGTAAGCAGTCTGACTGGAACAGGCTGACTTCAGAGTCCTGGAGCTGGGATAGCACTTGATGATCCCTTCATTACCTGCGAGACTGTCTTTCAGGGTGACAGTGTATGCAGTTCATGCCAAGTTCCATACTAGGGAAGCTGATGGTATGGATTTCCCAGCTGATTTTGCTGGCTGTTGAAATACACCCCAACTGTTAATATTCATGTTTATTTTTTAAGGGAATTAAGTGCTGTTAGAGTGGTAGCTTGGAGGAAGGAGCCTCCCTGGGGGCTAGTGCTAGGTAATGCTTGCTGCTGCTTAGTAGACAGATGGCACTGAAGGAACTTTCCACAAGGCTGTTAGAGCCTCCATTTAGTGTCAGTGTGTTTGCTGTTCTGATCCCCCCTAGCTCGGGGAAGGTATGGTAGACCTGGAAAGGGTTCATGGAAGGAACAACTGGGTCAGCTGGGACTCTTTAGCATGCAAAAGAGGTGAAGTAGGACTCCGTAAAGCAGTGAGAGGCAGAGAGGGAATGACTGCAAGCTGTTCACTGTTTCATCCTCTAGAAGTAAGACCAGCAAACAAAACTAGTGGGAGCCGGGTTTAGGTCAAACCAAAGGATGTGCTGTGTTCCACACACACACCACAAGAACTGTCAAGCCACAGAACTAACTGCAGGATGTCATAGTCAATAAAAGTTTGAGGGGAGACATGGCAAACTGGTGGAAGGGGAAAAACTATTGCTACTCACTAAATGCAAACTCCATGTCTGTCTCTGCAAGTTTCAGATTCGCAGCTGGTTGAGACATGAAATACATGGGGAAAAGAAGTATGTGCTTGTCCTGTTCCTCTGTTCTCCTCTAAGCATCTGCTTTTCACCATGGCTGGAGGTGAAACAGAGACAGGTTAGGCCTTTGGTTTGCTCCAGTATGTCTGCTTTATGCTCTTCAGGATGTAGTGGAAAAGATGCTGCTTCTAGATGTGTGCTGGAAATGAGAGAAATCTTATCTCCTTGCTATTTCAGTTGTACTGCTATCATTGCTAATGACATGCCATTGAATACTGGTAACGATGGCATATTTTGCGTCATTACATCTAGCTGATGTCAGCTGAGCAAAACCTGTAAGATTTGTTTGAGCCTTTAGATACCCTTCAAACAGGAGTGACTACCAGTTAGTTCTGTATTCTGGTAGTAATTACCATGATTATTCAGTTTTCACAAATTTCTGTTAATACGTGCAGAGAATTTTTTTTTAATGGAATAGTACAAATCTGTGTGTAAGTTTGTACATTTTATTAGTCTAATTTGCATACCTAACTGCAAGTGTGTGTAAAATAAGATACTAACTCATTAAAAGACATTATTCTTTCTTTTTTCTTTCTTTCTTGATTTCAGTAGAAGTGGCTTTTTTTTTTGTCCTGATACACAAAAACCGCACACTTTATTTTTATTTTTTTTTTCAGAGACATTTTTAGTGCTGGTTTTGCAAGACTCAAAGGACTTGAGAGATCTTAGTTTGACTTTGTGCACTCAGGAAGCTTTGGGGATTTAGACAGAAAAATTCCCGGAATGTAGTTCTCTTCAGCAGAAGCTTTTTTCCTTTTACTTGTTATATAAAGTGATGATAGGGACTTCTGTCCCTGTTTTTGCTTCCCCAAGCTGCATGAATGATCCTCCCCACCTGAGGGCCAAGGTGTGAATTGCTGTCGGCAGACCGCGGGCAAGCAGGGGCCCCTCGTGATGTAAGTGGTTTGTTAAGGAGCCTGCAGGCCTCTCGCTCAATGGCTTCTCTGTCCACGTACGGCTTGGGAACAGTCACAGGGCCTTTTTTTCAGATGTGAAATCTGTCAGCAAAGTGAAGTCAGCTTAAATATCAGCTGAGGCTTGAGCTCCCTTTCAGTTTTTGTTGACTTTATCCCCTCCTGCTCCTTCCCGATCAAGTTTCTCTCTGTTGGAGTCAGACTTGCTGATACTTAAAAGTTTTATTCTGTGTTTCGGTTGTGTGGATTTGTGTGTGGCAAAGTTCAGGTGCCTTTCACATTCCCAGGCTCGACAGTGGTCTGAAATACTGAGAAGGAGACTATTCTGGGTCTCTCAGACTCTTCAGCTGCTACAGTTAAATTAGAAACCGGTGGGAGTGCTTCTGGTACCCAAAGCATGCCGTACTCGGGTGATGCTGTGCAGACCTACTGGAGTTTTTTTGTGTTGTACCTGCTGCTGCCAAGCTGAGGAATTCTACTTAAGAATCAGCACCCCTTCTGTTCCCCAAATACGCAACAAAAATTGCTCTCTGCCCCAGAATTTATCACCAAAATATAAGATGTAATATAATACGGAGTACAGACAAGCAGTCAAAATACATGGAAACAGTGAGTGCGTGTTGGCTGTGTGCTGAGCCTGTCCCGGGGGCAGGATGCTGAGGTCATGCCATGTCTGCTGGCTGACCATGCAAACGTCTGCAGTCTGGGACAAACCTGTGGCGTCATGGCCTGTCAGTGTTTTGAAGCATTTTATGTATTGAAAGCTTGAGGAGATTCTTAGCTGTGGCAAGGAATGTCAGATGTTGTGGCTTATTTATAAAGAGAAAATAAAAAAGCAGAGTAAACTGCGAGGGAGAGGAAAGCTAGGGAAGGAGAGAACAACTGTTCCTGCTTCTGGTTTTCATCACTTGCTTAAGGATAAAAGTTACGAGCTATATTGTTGTCTTTTTTTTTACCCTAAACAGTTTTAAATCCTGTGATCAGCTGCCTTGACTGCTTTCTGTCCTACATGCACACTTTTTTTCTCTCTGTGATATCTTCAGTGGTTTCCAAAGTTGAAAATTTTTCCTACTGCTCAAAAGGCCAGAATGTTTAAAGACTTGTAATTGAGAACTTCTGGCTGTTGAGACACAAGGGTCTTAATGTCCCGCAGGTACTCTGTGCATCTCTTCCCCCTCTAGTGCCTGGTCCCGACAAGAGGCAGCAGCCTGGCACCTCTCCATGCATCACTCCTCTGCAGGTGGTGGTTGAAGAGACAGCGTTAGGGCCAAAAGTGCCAGGCTGGCTGCAGAAGCCACTTCTGGGCTTCTTTCTGTTGTTTAGCGTGTGCTGTCTGTGTACTCTGTTCTCTGGTTGACAGTGTCTTTGGAAATAACCTTTCCTGTGTAATAAGCTGTTGAGGGACAAGGTCCTACTTACTTCAGGGTGGGTGGTTAAGGAAGCACTGTCGAATGTCCTCTTTTCCAGGTGGGAACAGCAGTGGAGTGTGCTGGAGAGGTGATGGCAGTGTGGTACAATGAGATATCCCATTCTGTTCCCTGACAAGGTGTGTGCAGGTCTTGTCTGCGCTGGATAAGGCGGTGTTAAAACATAACCTTCTCCTCTTGGGATCGTGTTGGAGAGGTGCTGCTGAGAAGGAGGAAGAGGTGGTGGGGGCAGGGCAGTGTGTTTACCTCCTTTGTTTAACTGGAAAATACAAATCATGATTTAGGATCTCTCAGTATGTGAAAATATCATCTGGGAAATGCTTACCCTATAACTACAGTAATAGTGAATTATTGTTATCCAATAGCTCTGTTCCAAAACCCAGGTGAACAGTAACAGTTTTTTCGTGCTGTTCCTGGCTTGTTGGGCACCTGGCAATCAACATCTATAATCCATAATCTTGTTGTCACAGCTAAACATAAGAGGAAGCTGTTGAGACACAAGTCCCTGAGTCCCTAGGGATGTAGGCATGCTGGTGTTTGAGAAGGAAACAGACACAAAGGTCTTGTGATGTGAAGGATATCCGTGTTCTGCTGAGCTGAGGAAGGTGATCTTGATTTGCCTTTTCTTCTCCACCCCCTCCAACCTCCCTCCTGTCTTCCAGAGAAGGTTCACTCCTGCGACCAGGAGAGACAGAGCGCCCTGGAGGAGGCCAGGCAGAACCCCCGCGAGGGCATCGTCATCCCTGAGTGTGCTCCCGGAGGGCTCTACAAACCGGTGCAATGCCACCAGTCGACTGGGTACTGCTGGTGTGTCCTGGTGGACACGGGACGTCCCCTGCCTGGTACTTCCACTCGGTAAGAGCTGTAGGCCTGGCAAGATGCCTGCCTGGAGAAGATGAGATATTAAAAAATGCTGTTGCTATGTAAGATAAGTTCCTAATTCTAGAGCAGTCAGCTCTGTACTACCTTCCTTAGAGCTAGCGATGCTGTACGTGATGTTCCCTGTTGAATGTTACTATACAGCTCCCTCTCTGTAGGAGCTGGTGTGTAGTAACTACCACCCTTACTTTCCTCTGTTAAGTATTCATGCAAAGCAGCCTTTTTTTTTGCTAGCTTGCAGCTTTTGGGTGGTAGCAGGGACCGGGGCTTTGCTCAAGAGTAAAGGTCAGGGGCATGAGCAGTGAGAAGTGGCTTTGCATTATCCTCTGCTTTATACTTCCATGCTGCAGCCACTTGGATGTTGACCAGTACATATTTAGAAGACCGGTTGTGTGCTGATTTTTTTTTTTTTTTTTTTTTTTAAGCCAATGAAAGATTTTTCTTTAAGTTACTTTGCATCTTAAAACTGCCTGGGGAATCTTTTCTCACTTGGGGTTTGGAAACAAATTGTGGGTCTGGCAAGTTATAAAAACAGGCCTGTAGGAGTTGGGACTTAAGCTCTGCTAGATACAGGGATTTTGCAGAACGTGGAAAGTTTTGGAAGAAAGCTCAGCCTGTGCCCCCAAGAGTTGGAGGAGGGCCTTGTGCTGTTTGTGGGTTTGGGCTGGTACTGGACTTCAGAATATGTTCTCCCTCCTCTCTCAGCTTCTGCCACTGTTGCACACTGTCCATAAAACGACAGATGCTTGAGAACAGTATTTCTTCTGCAGGTTGTTGTGTGAGCAGATAAGATGACCCATTCAAAACCATCTGATGACACTAAAGCTATGTCACATAGTTTGGTATCTGCTGTTCTCCTTTTTCAGCTATGAGACTCCAGTGTGTGAAAGCGATGCCAGATCGAAGAGCACAGAGGTTGATGATCCGTTCAAGGACAGAGAACTTCCAGGTCAGAGAGGAACAAGATACTATCTCTGCCTTCTCACCACGGGACCCTTAAGAGGCAAAGAATATTATTCAGGAGATGGGAGATTTCTCTCACCGTGCATGTTTTACCATGGGTTTTATTCTGTGTTATTTTGGATCACTTCCAGCTTCAGCAGTGAACTGGAAAAGGCTGGGAGTGCTCTGGGGGCTGGTTTATTGCCTGTCTGCCCTTCCTTGAAAACATGTCTGGGATCAGAATTTTCAGGAAAGAAACCTGGATGCCTGGAGGTCCCCTGGGGGAAGAATGGGCTCAGTAGTGAAAGTTGTTCTTCAAAGCCTGGCCAGGACAGGATCCTTTGCATTTAGCAGGGCTTTTCAGCAGCTTGATGCCCTCTGAGCAACGAAAGACAAAAGAGGTCACAGCTGGCAATTGTCAGTGGACCAGCTGGCTCCCTGGCACTGCAGGGACCAGGCAGAGCAGCGTTCCTGGTACACTAAGGTCACTTAACTAATGCTGACTGCTCACTTAGCTGGACTTTATCCCTCATTTTCTGCCTGGGACCCCCTTTATCTCCTATTGCTGCTTGTTTTATATTCTGCTTTTCCCTCCTAATGGAGTGACAAACAATAATTTACTCTTTGCCTACCTTGTTTCTGCTAGGAAGATGTGCTGGGCATATTGTTTGTGTGGCTCTTAAAAATGCTATCCTACCTGCCTGTGCTCTGGTTTTCCCTTCCCGACGCCTAAGGAGTGGAGTGAGGGGCCCTCAGTGAGAGATCAGCCGTTGCTCTCCTGGGTGGGGGCTGACTGCTTGAAAACAAGCTACAGTGGGTCCCTCTCCACCATGAGGGAGCGGCAGAGACCAGGAACTCTGCAGAAAGAGCTGGTAGCTCTGGATCCCACTTTGTTTTCTCCTGGCCCTTTCGAGGGCTAGCATAAAGTGAGTTGTCCCTAAGCAGGTTAGCACAGGAAATGAGATTTGTTCCAGATTTGCCGTCTCTGTCTCTTAATTCTCCTCCTGCTGGCTCTTGACCTCGGGGCCCGTAGCTTTCTGCTTAGCAACTCTGCCCTCAGCAGGACTCTCTTCTGTGCAGCTCCTCATTTTCACAAGTTGTGTCGAAATTTCCTATCTGCCTCCCTCTCACAATCAAATGGAATTGGCGAATTGGTTCAACTGTTACTTTGGGGGGGTGGTGAAACCAGCTAAATGATTGCATTAAGGATCATATCCTTAGGAAATCATGCGAAAATAGAATAACCTTACTTCTTTTCTTCCCCATCCCCTTCTCCCCTGGCTTTATTGCCTCTCCCTGCACTTCCCCCCTGCCTCTCCAGAACTCCGCTGTGAAAATCCTTTGCTCTTGGGCTTTTTCTTTGAGACTCTTTCTAATCTCTCAGGAAGACAGAATGGTTTCGTTTCTCTTCTCCCACCCCTTCTGTGCTGCATCTGGACAAGGGGACAGGAACTGCTTGATGCAGAAGAGGACACATGATGGTCTGTGGCTTAGTGGCCTGGTCCCAGCATCAGACTTCAGGAGAGTTCCTCTCTCAGCTCAAGCTTTTCTGTACCTGAGTAAAATTTCAGCTCTGGGCTTGGCTGGATTGGCTGGCACGATGGTTCCTGACACTGAAAATACACTTGTATCAGACTAGGAGGTGGAGGATCTGATCCTGGTTTGTCTGCCTGAGAGGTGCTGTGCTCCATGATCTTTTGATTCAGACTTGAGGCTTGTTTGATTAGCTGCTCTTCTATGCAAAAATTCTCTGGTGAGCCAAAGCTGCAGGGGGTGAGAAGGGATGTTCCCTTCTACTTTTTCTGCTCTTCTTTCTTACCAGGACTACATTTTAACAAAAAACACTGCTTCAATTTGAGACTGATCATTCCATTTCTACTCAGTTCTGTAAGGGGGACCCCATGCCTTATTCCTCCTCTGGAGGTTTGTCTGTACTTCAGTGGGCAACTGAAGCCACTACTACCCAGTGCTGCAGGCAGCATGTGCCTTGGCCTGTGTGAAGAGATCCTGCAGAGGCCAAGGTGAAGGAGATGTAAGTCTGAATCCTTGGACACCTACTCATACCCTCCTCACAAACTGTGTCCTGGCTGCGTCCACAAGTAAGCCAGAAGAAAGAAAGAAGGAAAGAAAGTGTTGCTTGCACATAGCAAATGGCAAGCTGCTAATTCCGGCAGACGGTGAGATGCTGAGGCCCCAGGGAGATGACTTCTAGCAAATGGTTTTTCAACCTTCTCATTACTGCAACAAAAAGCTCCTTTAAGTGAGTGGTCTACTCTGGCTGCCATAGCAGCTTACCCATTACAATGCTGACATTTTCTGGACCATGTGCCAAACGAGTGCTGAGGGGTGTGCGTGTGTGTAATGCACATAATATGGAGACAGCCAAGGGTCTGTTGGTTAGCTATTGCAGAGAACAGAGCCTGTAGTACTGCAAAGGAGGGAGTTTTGTCAGATCAGTTTGCAAGCTGCTTTCAGCTGTCAAGGGATCACAGTAAGTTTCTGGTGCTCTGATTGGGGTACACGTGCTTCTCCGCTTGTCCGGGAAAAGCAGGAAGGGTTGACCCTGTTATATGTTGCTAGGGGGAGGCTGTTTTCTGATGTCTGCTGCCATAATCACCTGACTAATTGGTAGTGCATGGTTCGGGGAAAGAGAAGAGGTGAGGGATGTGGTGATGGCTTCTTTGTCACATCAAGAGAAGATAATAGGATGAGAGGTGACGAGTTTTTGGACAATGGTTTTGGAGATGGCGGGTTGAAGTTAAGTATGCTCATTCCTTGGTGGCCTGGAGCAATTATTACAGTATTAACGTGGTAGTAAATGAATTATGCTTTTGCTCCTTTAAGAAGCAAGGAAATGGCATAGATTGCCTCATAAAGGTGAGGAGATGAAGAATTTCATCCCAGCTGTGTCAGAACAGGCTGGCACTGTTAAGGATAGGAGACTCTGTCAGTCTGTGGTTACGAAGGTGGGGAACTAGACGGCCTTGGGACAAGGTAATGGAAATGGTTACCAAGCTCATCTTCAGCCCGCTTTGTCCTATTTCAGCCAGCAGTGACTGGGGGTGACTACCACGTGTTGACTTAGACTGACATATTTCCCATGCAGTGTGAACATGTAAAGAACCGAATTATTGTGGTAGCTGCTGGCAGGCAACACTCTCTGTGCCTGAAGAGGAGAGCACAAGCAGCAGTCCTTGCTTTGGCCTGTGCTTTGGGAAGCTATAAACTGTCAGTTAGGAGCTCAGAAGAACCATATTTTCAGAGGAAGATGACCCAGGAGGTGATGAGTTGTTTTGTAAACTTCTCTGCAAGTGTCACCATGGGAACTCCCATCTGCCAGGCGCTTCCAGCACATCCGTGTGGTTATGCTGGTGGGGAACTGGGAGAGGCCATAAAGCTAACCACGCGGTCTTCCTGCCAGATATTGTTGATGACCCTGTGTGTGCCTGGACAAAAGCTGCAGGACAAATTGCCATGCAGAGAAACCCATTAAGGGATTCCTCTTGCCTCTCCTTAGGGACTGTGATGATGGCTGCCATGTTACAAACAAAGGAAGTTCTGGCTGATTCTTGCTGAGCTGGGGTAGGAGACCAATTTTGTGTGTTCTTGCATTAAACCTCCTCTTTTCTCTCTGCAGGCTGCCCAGAAGGGAAGAAAGTTGAATTTATTACCAGCTTACTTGATGCTCTGACTACGGACATGGTACAGGCTATTAACTCAGCAGCACCTACTGGAGGTGGGAGGTGAGTCCAGAAAGCGCTTGGGCTGAATGCCACCGAGGTGGCTGCAGAGCTCTGGCTGCCCCTGAGGTGAGGGTGTGGGGGAAAGGTGTTGCTCTGTGCTGATTTGGGTTCCTCTGGGTTGCTGGGAGAGGAGCTGCCGCTGCATCTTCAGATGCTGCTCTGTCGTGTCAGCCTAGCCCTGCCTGCCTCCTCCCACCCCTCCTCCCTGGCAGCTGCTCCACCATAAAGGTTAGTATAGCCCATTTGGAGTGTGAAATGAGAGCTCAGTGGGAGGAAGTGGCTTGTTCTTTTGTGCCCTGGTGCATGAAAAGACCTAATAAAATGCAAATGGATTGAAGGAGACCCTGTGGCCTGGTGGCTACCACGGGGAGTGAAGAATGGGAACCGAATTCTTGGCAGTACCAGTGCTGTGGTTTTGCTGTGGGGCTGGAGCCAGCCTGCGGATGAGGATAGGAGCTGTTTTTCGTGGCCCTCCCCTCTGACCAGCTGCCTGGTCATCCCTCTTGGAAGGAGCAGCAGGTCAAGCCTGTTGCAAGAGGTGGGCAGAAGTCTGCATTTCTGGGGAACTGGAGAAAAGCTGAGGTCTTGTCTCCCCCTTCTGCTCGACAACAGCAAATCCCCTTAGTGCAGCAGCCGCAATGCTGCGGCAGGACGGGCCATTGAGAATGGACTGTGATGGATTTAAAAGAGATGCTATATTGCCTTTGCTAGGGAAGACTTCTGTGGTTCTGGATTCCCCTGGCTATAAAAGGGGTCGGTACTAATTTAGCAAGCAGGGATGCTGCAATGAATAATGTGCTCGTGTTCACAGGGTCTAGAGATGGAGGTTCCTCTGCACATGTGTTACTTCTGTGGATATTGCTCCAATGTATAGAGAGTGATGTTGATCCCCTGCTTTCCCTTCTCAAAATGTAGAAGGAAGCAGTGCCATCTTTAACTACTCAAGACAAAAAACTTCCTGGGACGCATCTCTTGTGCCTCTTGGTTTCAGTGTGGATTTGTTGTGAACCCATATGGTTTTAACTGCACGTTTGGACCTTACAAATCAGACCAGTGGCTGAGTGCCTGCACACTGAATATTCTGTAACCCATTGAATTAGCAGTGTATGCCTAGCATGTCTGTATTCATATAAACAGGATGAAAAATGCCCCAAGGATGGGAAATACGTCGTTCTCTCCCAGCTGTAAGCATTCCAATGTCAATTCTGTCTAATTTGCATGGTTCAAATGTAGTGGGTAGGGGTGGTGGGAAGCCCTGGAGAGTATTTGATATTTATTTGGCATCTTTGGTACAGGGACTGAAAACCAGCCAATGTAATCATCACTCTTAAAATACAGCTTAATATAAACCAATATTGTAGAGACCAGAGATGTATGCCCCCACTGCACTTCTATAAACCAGCAGGCTTGCTTCCTAATGTTCCCCAAGTTTTGTGTATTTCTCAGCTTTCAATAGAGGCCTTTCTGGTAGATTTTTTCACTGCCCAGCTCTTCACACAGTCGTCATGTTGATTTATTTTCAGCCCCAGTGTCGGCAGCCCAGTTGCAAGGAGAAAAAGAAATCTTTTAGCAGGCTGTCCTTTGTAAGGCGAAAGACTGCTACCACCCAAATACTCTGCCTGCCCACAGCCATGGTTAGACTCGGGAAACTGCTCTGGCATAAACCTCCACGCGCATCAGCTAGGCTAAGCACATACCCCAAAGAACATGCATCAAACTTTTCCATCCCGCCATGCCATGATGGGGCCATTTATTTTGAGGGGAAAAAAAAAAAGCATTTCAAGGAATTTTGGGTACTTTAAATAAAGATTTAATCAGTACAGCTTTCATTTCACATGAGTTTGGAGAGTTCAAAAGCTGTCTCTGTGCAATGAGTCCTGCTTTCCAAGTTTCTCAAGGGGAGGAATATCCTGAGTCCTGTCTTCAGGAGTATCTCAAAATGTCTGGGTGACCTTACTTCACTTTGGCACTGGAAATGAAAGCCCTTTTCCAAGACGAAGGGGTGTTTTACCTATAGGGTTAATCATAGGGCTAATTCATTTCCAGCCTTAACAACTAACAAACTACTGGATTTATGACAGTGCTTATCCTGTATCTCCCTGGCCCAGGTTTGCTGAGAAGGTCACATTGAAAAGAAAACATAGAGGTCTGGCTATCTGATTTTTCTTAATGTCAGTCATGTCAGTTTTAATGTCTTAATGTCCATTTCCTTATTGTGAGGCAAGCTTCGCGTACCACAGGATCTTCTCTGTCTTTGCCATAATGATGGTAGAACAGGTTCTGTACTTAAACATGCACTGGTTTCCCCTGTAGCCTCTCTCCTTCTGTTCCTTTACAGTGTTCAGCATTTCATCCTCCTGGGCTTTTTTACAGTTTGAACAAATACATCCAATGATCCAAGGTAAATTTTTAACGTGTTGCCAGCAAAGCTTATGCCTGTTGCAGAGGGCAGACCAGGCAAACAGCAAGCTATACCCCCATGTCAACTAGCCCCATATGTTGTCCTATGTATTTTGATCAATCAGAGAAGCAGCAAGTAGGAGTTTTAGGGAAAGGAGGGAGTATTCTTGTCTCTTCATGGCAACAGAGATGATATTGTCATACAATATGCATCTTTAGTATCAACATTAAAATTGGGGACCAAATGCAGAGAAGAGCCTTTCCAAAGTGACAAGGGCTGAAAAAGCCTAACAGTGAGAGACTTCAGGAGCTCAACCTTCCTTAGGGAATTAAAAGAAAGAAAAAAAAGGTTGAAAGATGATTTCCTATAATCTGAGTATCTCCACAGGGACAAAAGCTCTGCAGGCTTTAATAAGAACATGATTAGCTGAATATAAACAAACTGGTGATCAAAATTTCTTTAAAGCGAGGGCAATTCTAAGGCAGAATGAAGTCATGAGGGAGGTGACAGGTTCCCTCTCTCTCAGGCTTTCATCTTAGGCCTGATGCCTTTCAGAAAGACTTGCTTTAGTCAAATCCAAGTTATGGTCCTAAGAGTAATTTGATTCACATTCTGTGAGTAGGATATACAGGAAATTGGATTATATGACCCTGCAGCCTTCAGTCTGAATCTGGATATGCAGAGTGAAAACTTCTTGCATTTGCTGAGTGTCTTCATCTTGAAGACTATTTATGCTGCAAAACTATCTGGCTTTGCAATTAACATCTATATTCACTTTGGGGGGGGTGGAGGAGCATGGGGAGAAACGATAGTGATCTGCATTTAAAATACTACATGGAGCTGTGCTAAACTGCACACTTTTTACTTTACTTGGCACACACAAAACCAATCTAGTAGCAGCGAAGTGAAGCTGTACAACTTGGATTGCTGCAGGCTATGTAAGTAAAACCTGATAAGACTTTTTTTTTTATTGGGCATGCTTAAAACAACCTTGTAATCCCTTATAGGTCTTGTCTCATTTAAGCAAGTTCAAAGCTATTGACTTTAATTGAGTTACTCTTGCTTTACTATAATGTAAATGAGACGAGAACTTCCCTTCCTTGTGGCCCTGGTTTATATTACAGCAAAATAGCCAAGTAGACTTCATTTAGACTTTTGAAACAGAAAATATCTGGTAAAATTCATTCTTAATTTTAAGTTTATGTAATAACTCCAAGGCACATCTTGTTACTGTATGTTTTCAAAGTAATTAGGGAGCGCTTGTAGGAAATTGGTTTATTAAACAGTGTTTGGTATCCTTTTTGAAAAGATGCATAGTTGAAACTGTTCGCCTGTAAATCCTATGTAATAGAGGGAGCACTTCTTAAAATTTAGATTTTGCTTTAGTACATTTTAGTCTATTTTCTAATTCGGAGATATTCATATTACACAGGGCATAAACTAAAATAGACCAACGGGGATCTCAGCCTGGGTTTCCCTGATCTGAGAAACTCTCTTTGGTCCCTGCCAATTCAGAAGTGAATTGTAGTTGCCAAAATGTGTGCACAATGGCTTGCTACAGTACCAGCAAAAATATTAATGCCCTGTGGAACTTCGGGTTAAAAGGGCGGCTTGCAACAGCCACCCTTATAGTGTAACACAGCAGCTGAGTCCCTTCATTTTACGTTGCCAATTACTCCCCATGTAATAGCCCTAAAAAGTGCTTCAGAAAATTGCCCCCAAGGTTCCCTTTCATGCTCTGGTTGAGCAGTTTGAAGCAGGCAAGCACAGCTCAGCACATCTCCAGGGTGTTCTGAAGCTGAGCCATGTTTTAATAAAGATTGACACTTTCAAACAGTGCGGGGAAGTTAATGCCCAATTCCTATTGCATTTCAATTGAAGTTGGATACCAACTTCTCTTTATGCTCCTATGGAAATTCTAACCTAATTAATGATACAGGAGAGTTCATATAAGAGAAGGATCTTTGAACAGTCAATGAAGAGTGAAGGGAGGTGATTTTTAAACCTTTTGAATAATTTATCCCACAATCTTCAGGAAAGTTCTGTTCAGAATAATGTTTCATACACAGCTTAGCCAGAGGAGAGGAAGAAATTGGACCTGTAATAGGAAGATAAGTTTTAGCTGTAGAGGAATTATGCATTCCCTGTAATGAATTTGGACTGCATGGCACCCTTTTGTTTAGTCTGAGCACAGCTTAGTTTTTTGTTGGCTTCTTGATTTTTTTGGCTACAGGAAAGGGAGAATAATAAAACAAATACAGGATCCTTTTGCAATTCCATTAGAGCGATCCGCTTTGATTCAAGCCATGTTCCACCATTACAGCTTTCAACTTTAGAATAGACAACCACAAAGAACAACAGGAGAGTAAGAAGTGGAAGCAGAGCAAGAATAATTCTGAATTTTACCTCAGTTTGTTAAACTTGTTACTTTCCACCGCTCCTCGCAGGCACCTTCATGGACATCATCAATGCTGTCATGGGCGTTGACTGGCAGGATCAGTCCTGTCATTTCTTTAGCTTCACTCTCATCCATTCTCCATTCAGCAACAGCACAAAGCAAGTATACATCCTTGCTAAATATTTTCAAGCTGTAGAAACATACAACTTTAACTCCTGTAGACATCCTGGCCACAAACATACTTTGTGTGCTAGGAGTGGATGCTGGACTAATTTTTTTTCTACTCTGTTGCTTCTGCTAGCAGCTTCCTGTCCATCAGTGTTCTTTCATCCTGAAATAGATCCCTCTGGTTTATAGTCTCTGTCTGCAGTCCAGTTAGGTGATGTTAGGCTGGTCCTACTCAGCTGCCTCAGCTGCTATTGTTCCTACATAATTTTTGTATTACAAAAGAATAGGTTTTCTGAAGGTCTTCAAACAGGTGATCATCTGCTGGGTACTTCAGAGATTGCAACCTTGCCTTCTGTCAAAGCAGTATTTTGTGTTAGGATTTTCTGTCATTGCAACAGTGCTGTGGGTCCGTGCAGCCTGTGCAGTGGGGCTGCAAGTCTTTAGGGAGCAAAGGACCACCTTTGGTAGGTATGGACTTCAGCTTACTTAGTAAAATTTAGTGGGACATTTTACACTTTGATAGCACAGTTCTGTGGAGGATAATGTGAGTGCGCACTGTACACAGCTCTGAGTAATGTCTGACGTTTGCTGCTCTTCTATGCTTTATCCTATACACCTGCCCTTCTTCCCTTTGCAAGGGGCCGCACGGGTTGGAAAGCATTACAGACTGCATGCAAAGTGCATATTCAAGCTGTCTATTTGATATTTTGATATATATTCTTCTCTCTCTGCTCCAGAATTCAGTGCAATTGCAAAAGTCTGTGTCCATGTTTTTCATAGCCTCTTTGCTTTCTGCTGGTACCGCAGTTATACCAGATGATATGAAGGTGTTCTTGACTGGAAAACAGTATTGTTAAAGCTAACAGTACCTTAACCCACAGATCTCCAAGCAGAAGCCACCTAAGAAATAACTATTGTCCTCCTGTGAGGGAGCTAATAGCACATTATACAGGAGGAGGAGAAAAAGCCTACTTAAAGAAGACTATCTATTTGATGCCAACAAACTTGCAAGAAAGCTGAGAGAGCAGGTTCCCTGTCCTAGGCTGTTGATGATACACCATGCTTCTCTTAATAGTTGGACTGTGGGTGGGCTTACGCTACATAATGGAGCTAAACTTCTTGGCTTGTGTACAGAAGTGGTCCAGCAATAGCAGGTTAGATTTGGAAAATCAGCTTGCACAGAGTTCTTTGCTTCACCAGCACTTATTCTTTAGGATTGATTGTTTTGCCATAGAGTGCTAAAGAGGAACAATTAGGAAAAAAGGTTAAGTACAGCTGTAATGCAGTCAACACGAGAAGACTGAGAAGGCTGTCTCCATTTTGGTAATGTCTGTCTTTGCTAGGTCTTAAAAAGCTTCTACAGCACTGGAGTGAGCCTGGAATTCAGTGCAGTTTTGTGTGACCGGTGTTAGAGCAAGAGATGTTGTTTCGCTGGGAGTTGAGAGTGTACAAAGCAGCTTTGTTCTCTGTTGGTTTTTCTGATTCCTTTATGGTCTGAATAAGTAGAGAGGCAGTCCAATAAATGAGTTTACATCTGAGGACTGATTTATTTCTCTTGCAACAGCAGTGGAGAGGTAATAGAGGGAAATTCCCCTGGAATACTCCTGCAAAGTCTGTGCTTGCAGGACAATTAGAGCCCCCAGATTTATTTCAGCTGACCCAGCAGGTATGGTTGCTATCATGGCACATCATCAAAACTAGGTGGCTTAGCAGTGCTGGGAAGTTGCATCAATTCACGTTTCATGGATTGTGCAGAAGTGTCTTGCATGGGCAGCCGTCCACGTCAAGATAGTTAGATACGGTGTTGTAACCTCAGCCTTCTTTAGTCTATCATGTAATTTCATGAGCCAGGGAGATACGGCTGCACTGAGATGATGCGGATCGTTCCTGTGCTGGGATGCTGGATGATCATCACAAAGGTTAGGCAACCAGCTCTGGAACTGCAGCCCTGCTAAGCCAGCCAACAGGAAGTGGTTAAAAAGTCAGAAATGGCTGTATCTTCCTTCCTCCTGCAACACAGCAGTTAAACTAACTCCCTTTAGCTCCATTAGCATGCTGCATTTTTCAGCATGAGCTCTCAGCATGTTTGTAATGGCAAAAATTGATGTATCATCACCTCATGAGTCAATGTATTTGTATTAGTCTGTGGATTTCCCTGATTTTCTTTATGGAAGTGCTGAAGAGAGGTATAGTGACTCTGTTGGTAACTCATAAGAGCTTCTCTTTGGTGTGCGTCTGAAAAAGAGGTCCTCCTTCTGAATGTGTCTTCAGCAGGTAGCAAAAAGCTTGTGTTCCTGTCTGTTGTCTTATTGCTGTTGGTTCTAAGAAGCTCTGCTATTTTGTCCATTTCCGCCTCTCCAGTTGTGGGTCTTCAGGAAACAAAGGGCAGGCCAAGGTGTGGACCAGGGGAATCTCGCATGCAAAAGCTCAGATTTTATTCCTCTGTCTCAGCAAAAGCAGAATATTATCCCTTGCAATATAGAAATTTCCCGTGACTGTTGGAAACATGCTAGTCTTCAAATGATAGCCAGCTCACTTTGGAAAGGGAGAGAGGCCAATGACTATGTTCATAAATGTCATAAAAACAAACCACAGGATGTGTTTTTATTCTCTCCTGTCATCCTGGTCTTCACATACAGTTTCAAGGCTCTGAAAAATCCGGGCACTCCCTCAGCTTCCTGGGGAGACTTTTGCAATTTCTGCTTGTCCATAGGTGGCTCCAGGCGGGTTGCCTTGTATTTAGGCTCCCAAAACTAAGCCAAACTTCTTCCTGCCCCACAGTGTTTATCCCACTGTACATTGACTAGATGCTGTGACTGAATGCCAGCCTGCTTCTCAACTAAGAATTACATGACGAAGGAGATAGTTTAAAACCTTGGGGAAAGTGTTGTGCAGTTTATTTGCCTT